CATCCACCCCAAATTGTCACTAAAGCACATCCAAACGTATAAAAAAAAATTGTGACAAATATAGTAAAACTAACAAGTGCCAAATTAACTAACTAAATGTCGAGCCATAGAGTGAGGGTACCTTTTAGAAGTTTTTACTTGACTCATTTCAGTCCCATACCAGAACAGTTCAGACTCGATCAAACATAAACAGATCAAATCTCGACAATTATAAAGTACATAGAGACCAGACATCTACCGAATAAGATCAGATCAGTTCATACCAAACCAGATCAGATTAGACCAAACCATAAAATTTCAGCCCAAATAAAAAAAAATCTCAATCTAGTCTGGTCTGAAATGTTATTTTGTACGAGTATAATTTATATATTATAATCCAGATATAATTAGTATGTATTCATTTATTATTAAAAATAACAAAATTTCTTCCAAATTATTGTACAATATATCTTCTCAACTTATCATATATTTTTAATGGGTATATTATAAAGAATTAAAAGTATACGAAAACTATTTTATATTCTATATCATACAATAATGTTTTTCCCCTTTTACTTATAGAAGATATATCGTACAAATTGAGAAAATATAATGTACAATAATTTGAAAGGAACTTTATTATTTTTAAAAATAAATTATTAAAATTAATTAAATAGGATATAAACAGAAGATAATATGAAAATATACATATTCAGAAACAACATTAAAATATTTATGAAGTTGCTAAAAGAAAAATAGATTTTGATAAAAGTTAGATATATAAAGTAAAAGATTAAAAAAATTACAAAAACCGGAGAATAGTGTACATAGACCTTTAAGTGGGAAGAAGGTATAAATAATACTCCGTATCAATTAATATTTCAGGCTAGACCAGACTAAAATCGACCAAATGAGACTAAAACAAATCAGACCAGACCAAATAAAAAAATTTCAGTCCAATTAAAAAAGTCATAACTCTATAACTAGACAGTCTAGTTAGTTAAGTTTTGAGTAAACGTCTTATCTAAGCAAAATTCATTTTAGTTAGATTTTTTTAGTTGTACTGAAATTTTCTGGTTTGGTCTAGTTCAATCTGGTTTGGTCTGAACTGGTCTGGTCTTATCCGATAGATATTTGGTCTCTATGTATTTTATAATTGTCCATGTTTGATCTACTTATATTTGATTATGTCTGATCTATTCTGGTTTGAGACTCAAATAAGTTCAACTAAAAACGCCTAAAACAAATCAAATCAAATCAAACTAAAACTAATCAAAAAAGAAAATTCAAGCCCGTAAAAATTACCCTAACTCTATGGCTTTGTTCTCACAAGTTTTATACGGAGTATAAGTTTGGATTTGGATGTGCTTTAGTGACAATTTGGGGTGGGTGGATTTGCCTTTATCTCAAACTGTCACACGCAGGGGTGGGCAAACGGGTCTTGGAACCGCGGTCCGATCCGGGTAATGGCGGTTCGGGTTCAAAACGGACCGGTTCCATTTTTTGTTTCCATAAAACGGTCCGGGTAGGGTCGGGTAATTTTTTTAAGGAACCGGACCGGTTCCAAAATTAAAAAATAACGGGTACCCGACCCGGCCCGTTATATATATTGTATATTAATTTATTAATAGTTTTTGTGATAATCGGTTTTGAAATAGTTTTGTTTCCTTTGCTAGAAGTAGGATTTTAAATTGAGTTGCAGTAACATCCTTTTGTTTTCAAATTATTGATTAAATGTTTCATAAATGTCTTATTACTTTTTATTGTTATTGAATTATTCCTTTCTATGGAATTTAATTATTTGTTAAAGATGATTTTGTTATGTTCTTTTTATTATATTGTTATTAAAATATATAAATTGTGTTTACCACCCACCATGTATGTGTCAACTTTGGCTAATACTGGAAATTTAATATAAAAAAAAGCAATCACTTTAATATGTGATGTTAGACAACATGTTTAAATGCAAATGTTAGAAAATATGTATTTTGGCTATGTTGCATATTTTTGGAATTTCTTTAACTGTTTGAAACTTATATACAAGAAATTATGGAGTATTGGGCTTTTTGCTTGTGTTATATGTGCACCACTATGTTGTTATTTTGAAACTTGCTAATGTCCTATATTATTGATTATTGATTTTTGGAACTTCGTGAGTTTTTACTAATTTCAAGACATGAGAATAGAAACCGTAAAACCCGGACCGGACCGACCCGTTTCAAACGGGCCGGGTAATTTCCGGTTCCTGTTATGAAAATTGTAATACCCGGACCGGACCGAACCGTACAATGGAACCGGCGGTTCCATTTTATTTTGCATTACCCGCCCCGACCCGGCCCGTGCCCAGCCCTAGTCACACGGCACACCGTTATGCACTCCGTATGTTTGCGGTTAGAGAAGGGGCATTTCCTCTGGAATAAAGAGAATTATGCTCCAAAAATAAGTCCAGGAGTATGGATGCCCTTTAGTGGCAACTCTAGGGGGTTTTGCCCTAGAAATGGCAATTTTGACCAACCCGTTAGATACTCGCACCGAACCGATTTGGTCAAATTGGGAAAAACTGGTTTGACTAGGGAATGGATATGGGCGGGGAATACCCGAATTTTTTAAATGGTTAATGGTGCAGTTATGGTTCCATACTAATCCGCCCCGTTATCCGCCCCGAAACTGCCCCGTTCACTAACGGTGCAGGTACCTGCACCGTTACCCGACCCGTAACATTATTAATGAATTATACCTTTTTATATATAAGAATAATAAGTATATATATGCTAAATTGTGTATACTAAATACTCGTAGAGCCCGTTTGGTAGTTTACACATTAAAACTTCACATGCAAAACGATTGCATGTAAAGTTTAGGACTGTAAAATAGTTTGCATGTAAAATAGAAATGCATGGTTTGGTTATATGTGTAATTCCTTTTTAAATTACACCGTGGGTTTGATGTGGTGCAGGCCGATGCAGTCTTCAATTATTGAGCCTGATTCAGCCCTCACGTTTGATATAAGCCATCTCATCCAAATCTATTAACCGAAGTAGAACAAATATGCTGAATCATGCTTCAAAATCGCAGCACACCAACCTACTTTTCCAAATAAAAAACTCACCCACTAATAATTTATATATATACGTGTTGTATATATATAGTTATAAGCACAAAAATGGTCATCTTTTTCAAAACCGACTTCCACAAATTCAATTCTTAGAAGGATAATAACTACACCAATTAGTTGCTTCATGGAAATTGCAGTTCAATGGAGCGCATATTAAGAAGACTATTGTGCTCTTCACGATTATCTTTTTTTTTTATAGACGAGACTCTAGAGCAAACTCTTTATTATTGCGGCCAGGCTATTTTGTTTTGTTGTATTCAACCGTGTAAAATAGTTTACTACCCTCCCCCACGTAAAATATTTTACATGGTATCGTGTAAAATGTTTTAAAAAAAATGCCCTACAGTTTACATAAAAAAAATTAAAACAAACGGTGTAAAATGTTTACTTCCCCACACTTCGCATGCAAAATGTTTACTTTACATCATACTAAACGGGCCCGTAGTATATATCATATAAATAATGCTAAAAAGTATACTACTTTTTAGGCCTAAAACTAAATATAGGCCTAAACCAGTTTTTAGAATTTGGATTTTGGAATGATTACTACCTTTTTATTATGTTACAAGAGATATTAGGTGCATGTCATACTAATATATTTAGGCCAGTCTGCTTGATTGGTTAAATATTTAATTTTGTATGTATTAGGGTGCTTTGAATATATAGATAACAAGTAGCATTAGAAATTGGTTATTTGTTTTCCAAAAAAATGTTATTTGGCGTCATTTAGGGAAACGATTACCCGTGGATAAATCGATTCCCCGTTGGGGCGGATACGATTAAAATAAAAATTACCCGAACGAGTAATAGGGCGGTTTTGAGGCAAACATTTATCCAACGGGACGGTTTTGATTTTATGTGTACTCATCCCCGATCCGCCCGTTGCAATCACTCTTTTGCCCCTTTTCCCTTCAAACTTAATCGGGACGGGATGGGAAACCTCTCTTATTTTGAATCGCCGTTTTGTCGATCATCCTTGATCCACTCCTAATTGAAATTAGGGCTGGGTCCGAAAAACCGAAAACCGAAAACCGAATCAAATTAAACCAAACCGCAGCCAAATAAAACCGAACCGCTAAGAAACCGGAACCGAATGTAAAAAACCGAACCGAACTGAAGTTGTTTGGTTCGGTTTTGGTTTTTACCCTTCAAAACCGAACCGAACCGAACAAACCGAATTATTTAAAATATGAAATTTATATGTTAATTGTTAAGCATTAATTCTAAATAATCTTAATGTCATCAATAGTCTTTGGTTTTCTTGTGTTAGAGAAATAATGTTTGTGTTATGTTTAATTTAATTTAGTTTATAAATTCATTTACACATTCATTGTTTGTAATAATGTAGTTATATTGAATGATGTTAATATGTGCTTACTAGTTATTAGTAGTAATTAATTTTTTTAGATAACTTAAATATTTTATATTGATAAAACAATAAATATTCATCTCAACTATATCACATAAAACGTATATATTCATGAACTTTTTTCGAACTACTCACAAACAAATTAAATCAATAATATATACAGTTTTATCTATCTCGCATACTCATATAATTCAAGACATATTTATCTCCTCATTTTTATTTTATTTGTTGTTGTATTGTGCTTACATTCTTTATGTAATATGTTTGATCACTCTAAGTATTATATCAATTTTAAATCGTGGGATTTTTTTGGTAAAAACCCGAAAAAAAACGAAACCGAACCGAAACAAACCGAACCAATCAAACCGTGGTTCCAAGTTTTGAAGTGTAAAACCGAACCGAAACCGAACCGAACTTTTTACTTTGATTCTATATTTGATTTTAGGTCAAAACCGAATCGCAAGAACCGAACTCACCCCTAATTGAAATAGTGTATCTGACACTTTCACCCTCAATCATTTCCGTACGCTATGGGGTCCATTCACGTAATTTACCATGCGCTTGATTATCATCCATGAGAGATGGGGATGGTAACAGCTTCGCCTCACTCAGAGATAGTTTCTCCTCTTCTTCTTCACTTCCACTCGCCGCACACATCTCCCCTTTCACCCCTCTCATTTCATCAACCAGTCTTCTCGCTGCTGCAAAGGAATCCTCTCCGAAGCTCAGGTCTTTCTCTTGTTCAAAAATATTCCTGAATTTTTCACTCTATCGTACTTGATTAGTTGATTGGCCGGCACCATCACGCGTGGTCCTGTTGTAAGTTTGTAGGACGAAGGAATTTAGTCCCGCGATCTCATAATCGCGATTTGAATATTGAGAAACAACTGATGGATTTGAAGGAAGGGAATCCCGAATTGAACAAGAATCTTTACCCTGCCATAGAGCCGTATGGCTCAGGTTTTTTGAAAGTCTCTGATCTTCACTCCATTTATTGGGAGCAGTCTGGGAATCCCAATGGGCATGTGAGCTCTCTTCTTCCTCTTTTTACTCTATTTGCTTCTTTGTATTTGATTTTGATCGATTGGTTATACTATGTTTCTTCTGATGCGGTTTGCTGGATTTAGATGTCAAGTGTAACCTCTGCAATAAAAATTTGACCATCTGTGTGGATGAGCATCTTGGTTATATATACTTTTTGCTTAACATTCTTTGACATACTCCCTCAAATAAAATTCATACTTTGACTTTAAGGTTTTTAATAAAGTGAAAGTTTTGCTTTTGGCTTTCCCATTATACCCCTCAAAAAGAAAGTAGATTACATGTAGTGACAGAGAAAGTGGAGGTAAGGTAGGTAATAAAGTAAGAGTATACATGTAACTTTATATTAAAAACTTCCAAAAAATAGAAGTGTGAAGTTTATTTTGAACCTGGAAAGTGTGAAGTTTATCTTGGACCGGAGGTAGTATATGATATAGTGAGGTGACAACTCCGGTACCCATTTAAAAAATGGGGTACCGCACCTACTATCAACTTGATTTGTCCAAATCACTATATCATTTTTAATTTAGATTTAAATAATTCAACTGTAACATCCTGATTGGTCCATGTGGACAAAGGTATGGTACCTTAAGGGTATCATAGAAACTACCTATGATATATTCATGTTTAGAATTCTTATATCCACGAGAGAAAATTAGCTAAGTACTTTTTGCATAACTTTCTCGGACTATTCTGCATTGCCATTACTCTGAAGATCATATTTGTACTTCCCAGCCTGTTGTTTTTCTTCATGGAGGTCCGGGAGGTGGAACTTCGCCAAGTAACCGGAGATTCTTTGATCCTGACTTCTACCGGATCGTTCTATTTGATCAAGTAAGTCACATGAATGTTTTTGTCTACCTGTTAAAGGGTTGTTTTTAGTGCTTAGGTCAGAGAGATCATTTTGATGGATATAAGGTATGGTCTTGGTCTAGAGAGGTGCAGGTAAAAGTACACCTCATGCTTGCTTGGTGGAGAATACTACATGGGACCTTATCGAGGATATTGAAAAACTAAGAGAACACTTGGAAATTGCAGAATGGCAGGTCAATTTTTATTTATTTATAACATAGATGCGGTTCAATGGATGCTTCTTTTCACTCTTAATAAGAAAAGTATAATCTTTCCAGGTATTTGGTGGATCGTGGGGGAGCACACTTGCTCTTGCATATAGCCAATCCCATCCTGACAAGGTTTTGATTATTAGGAAATCTCATATCTAAACTTTGATGAATGAAACTCCAAATCATTATTCATTAAACTGAAATAAGGTATATAAATCAACCCCATACTTATCCTGTACTTCTCTATGTATTTAAGGTTACTGGCTTGGTCCTCAGAGGGATATTTTTATTGAGGAAGAAAGAAATTGATTGGTTCTATGAGGGTGGGGCTGCTGCAATATTTCCCGATGGTATGATTTTTTAACAACATATAAAGGCCTGTTTAGTAACACTAGTCAGCCTTTTTCCTACAGAAATAATCAAAATAACAAAAAGGACTAGCCACTGAGTCACTGACTTGCACTTATTTTGCTAAAGTCGATATTACCAAGTGTGGTTCATTTTAGAAAATTCGATAGATCAACCCTCTTTGGCCAAATAACCCTTCACAAGAAGGCCCTTAAATGTAAATTTAACCTTGTGAGGTAATGCTTATTAGTTAATAGTTGTCATGAAAAGGTTGCCTGGCAGCCAAATCATTGCTTGTTGTTTGTTGCAGCATGGGAACCATTCAGGGATTTGATTCCAGAAAATGAGAGAAATTGCTTTGTCGAGGCATATCACAAGAGGTTAAATTCAGATGATCTTGAAACACAAGTAAGGTTAATTTCAGACCTAAAATGGTGTGTGCGCCGTCTGGGTTCAATCTTTGCAGACCATTTATAATTGCACACCACATTAGTTATGTTCTCTCACTGTGTGCTTCATGATGTTGTGATTTTTTGTTTTATTTTCTGAAGCTCTAAGTTTTACAGAATGCAGCAGCGAGAGCATGGACTAAATGGGAAATGATGACTGTTCATCTTCTCCCTAACGAAGAAAACATAAGGAGAGGAGATGACGACCAATTTTCATTGGTGAGCAGTTAATTTAGCAACCTTTTGGGATATAATATAATACTATCAGTATAATATAATACGAAGTATAATATAATATATTTGAGTAAATTGTGTATCATGCTTACTATGATTTTCCATCCAGGCATTTGCTAGGATTGAGAATCACTATTTTATCAACAAAGGATTCTTCCCTACAGATTCTTTCCTGCTAGAAAATATTGAAAAGATAAAGCACATCAAAGCTATAATTGTTCAGGTGTGTGAATCCTCTTTTAACAATACTTGGATAATGTGGTTAAGTGCACTTATTTAAATAGTGTGATGCCATTTGTCTTGATGTGTTTTGATTTTTGCACATATCTATTATGTTGCAGGGTAGATATGATATTTGTTGTCCAATGATGTCAGCTTGGGATCTTCATAAAGCTTGGCCTGAGGCAGAACTCACGGTAATTGATAACTTGTTTCCAGCGCTGATTTTTTGGGGGCTCGATATTTTTAATTTTTGTTCTGCTTTGTAAGGAGATGGGTTTCTCATTTTTTTATACAGATTTTGAAGCTCCGTAGATTAATTTTAGATATTCGTTCAAACTCATTTTATTCAACTGCTTCTACATTTTTAAAGACCGACTCCAAAGATGTATACCATTTTAATCACAAATTTCGTCAAAATTGTGCTAATAAATCTTAAATGCTTGTCTAAAACCATTTCCTTTCTTTTTGTTGTTGTGGGGGGTGGGGTTCATGTTACAGGTTGTTAGAGATGCAGGACATTCGGTAAATGAACCAGGAATAACAGCAGAGCTTGTGGCTGCAAATGAAAAGCTGAAAAACATTCTGAAAGGTATATAGCCATCCTTGGAAGGGACACAAAAAATAACAGAACCTGTACCACCTTTTGGGCTTCACTGCCCCGCAACCCCTTCAGACGACGGATGATATTTCGGACTATGGCCTGAAACTGTCGAAGGGAACTTTACTCTGATTCGTTCATGATTGCCCATGTTTTCTTTTCTTCCTTAAGACCTTAATTAAAATGCTTCATTCTCTTCATAGAAAATGAGGTTGAGATTCCATGAACATGTCACTCGTTGTATCATATTCTCAAGACAGAGAATCTATTTCTAAAAGGTCAAGCTAATAACAGAATAGCCCCTCTAAAAAAAGAAAGCCCCCCTAAAAAAGTGAGAATTAGTCAAAAAAAAATATGGAGTATATTGGTTTAGTGTTTTATGTTTTGCGAACTCAAATATAAATGATAAATCTATGTTATAAGACCCGAACCGGACCGGCCGGTCCCACCCGGAACCCGCCCACCCCGCTACATATCCGGTCCGGCTGGGCATCGAACCGCAAATGTGATGAAAACCGGATTTAACCGGCGACCTGCCCAGGCCCGGGATGGACCTGACCACTCCAAACTCGGAAAATGCCAAGAAAACCGAGGGAAGAAGTTGGCCGCGGGGATCGAACTCACGCCAACTGAAGCAATTTGGTGTTTCCAACCAATGGGCTACGGACACCGGTTGGTAATTTTGGATGCTTAGCTATCCTTATACCTTTCGAATGTGTACCATTTAATTGAGCTTTAATCAGTCTGTTAAATAATTATTTTATAATAAAAATTATACTACGTAATACATACAAACCAATGTTGCGCTATTTATACTTCCTCAATCTGCTGCCATTAGGTATGTCATTTTTATTTTTTATTTTTTCTTATTTTGTAATTGGTATTATGTTCATATTTAAATTATTTATCATCCATTTTATACACAAATGTATTTTAAATTTTGTTAAAACTAGTATACTTTAATAAAATATAGTTTTTTTTTACATTAATTATATTTTATTCTCAATATTTAATTAAGAAATGATATAGGTTTCTATTCATGAATTTAATTTTATATATAAATATGTGTATTCGTGTTGATCGGGTTTACCGGTCGTTGACCGGGTTGACCCGCCGGGTCAGGGTTGACCAGTGACCCAATCATTTGTCCGGGTCACTCACCGGTCTGGTTCTTACAACATAGATATAAATATGTTTTGTTATTCAAATAATTTCGAATAGACGGATATGGATACTGTGGAAACCCTAGTAGTATTGGGCTTAACCCATTTGTATATCTTGTATAGGAAACCCTAGTACTCAAAATATAGCTATAAATATAGCTTCTTGTATAGCATTTTGATATCAAGTACTTCGTATATGAAATACAACCATACTTGTTCACAGATACAAATACTATTATTTGTATTATTACAAGCATATTTAGTTACTCTGTCAAAATTTGCCATTTGATTTCTTGAATTCAAATATTCTAATATAATTTAAATATATTTAAAGAAAAACAATCGAATGGAATAGAAAGTAGTTATGGACCGGGCCCAGTCCAGTTCCGGTTTGGGCCTGGGCCCGGCCGGGCTTTTATTTGAGAATGGGTGAACCGGAACCGGCCCGGGTGGCCGGCGGGTTCGGGTCAGGCCGGGCCGGGCCTCGGGCTACTTCCTATTTTTTTTTTTTACTTTTCTAATTAATCCCCGACCTCCCCCTCATTCAAGCCCCCAAACCACCCCAAATGGCCCAAAACACCCAGCCCAACCCTGAAAAATAAAAAAAATGAAAAGAAGGCCCGGAACCGGTCCCGGCCGGGCCGGTTCGTCTATTGGGTGACCCGAGCCCGCACCGTAAAACCACCGGGCCGGGCCTACCCGGACTGGTCCCTGGCCGGGCCGCCGGTTCCGAACAGTGCCGGTTCCGGGTCAGGCCACCCGGCCCGAGTCCATGCCTAATAGAAAGTATGATTAATTATAATTATGAATGTTAAAATTTTTTAGTATGAATATTAATGCACATTACTACTCGACTTGATTCAAATCGTTTCTGAATGTGTTAACTGTTTTGGTTGAGTAAATATTCCAAAACAAAAATCTCTTTTCGTCTTTGGCTTTTCTAGACTGGGGAGTACGGAGTACCCATCCATTCAAAATCATTTTAATAAACCTAAGAGGCTATTGGAATTGTTGCAATAAAAAGAATCACAATATCAAACATTAGAAATTCTTTGTAGATAGAGATGTAATAATGTAATATACTTGTTACCTCTACACTCATGGTTGTAGATGATGAAGGAATGGAGTTTGGAAGAAAAATGAGGGAATGAGGGATAGGTGGGTATAGGGGTTTGGATTTTAGCGTCTTGGGGGAACGCTATTTTTCATACATTACAAACGCTGCTAATTGCAACGTGTTGGGTTGAAAACGCCAAGAACCAAACAACCTCAAAGCCTCGTTGTACGTGGTTACTCTTCACTTTGTGCAAAAGTTTATACTCGGTATATATCAACTAGTTTTCTACTCGTGCGTTGCGCGATAAAATATGTGTCCAATGTGATTTTGTTGGAAAATATGTATATTTTATGTTGAATTGATAAGATTACTTTTAGTATATGACATGTTAGGTAACTTAGAAATGGAGTATTTAACATTTCTTCATCATGATTCATAAAACATGGCCGAATAAAATTAAAAATGCACACTCACATAAGGGCTAGACCATGTTTTCCTAATTTCAAAATAAAAAGAATCACAAAAGCGAGAAATGTCTAGTACATATATAAATACTAATGTTTTCTGGGAACTTTGAATCTTTTAATCTTTATCAATACAATGCATGTCTTATAGGAACTTTGAATTTCAAGCTAAGTATCCCATTAAGTCTACCTCTAAATATGGATCTCTGTGAACGAAGGCATCCTTACAAGAGATATGTTCTAAAACTTCAAACACTCTAGGTGTGTGTGAGTTTGTCACAATGAGTTTTGTTATCTCTCATTGAGGGCTGATTTTTTTAAAGGGAAAACTGTCAAATAGGTCCTCGAACTTTCATAAAAAAGTCAATTAAGTCCTTCTATCGGAGACTCTGTCCGGTTTTCACGATTTGGGGCGGTTTCCGGTGGAATTTTTTGATGAAATTTTTTGAGCATCTTATTCATCAAGTGTAGTTTACTCATACCAAATTTCAGCTAAAACTTTATTCGGGAGCGCATTCAAATTAATTCGAGAACGCAAAAATGCGCAGTTATCTTCATGAATTAATTTGAATGTGTTCCCGATTGAATTTTTAGCTGAAATTTGGTATGAATAAACTAGACTTGGTGAATAAGATGCTAAAAAAAAATTCATCAAAAAAATCTGTTAGGTCCCTGTTTTCTAGTCTAGAATGTATGTATGGAAGATAGATCTATGATTTGAAGCTTTCCATTGAATGATGAAGAAGTTTACAGAATGATGAACAACACTTAGCGTAAAACTTCTATCACCGATATAGGCACTGCGGCACTAGGATATGAGAATATCTGAAAAGCTTAACCTAGCCTTTCCCTTAAGGCATATATATAGCCTGCCGGGAAAGGTAGGTTTTACAATCATTTGGGCTCCTTTTTCTAGGAGGCCCATACCTAAAAAGGCATGTAAGCCTTTATTACAAATTGCCTTAAAAGGCCTATTCATTATTCTAGCTAGTCTATTTATTTATATAAGCTAAATACAAAGAGCTAAGAAACATTGATCACAATATAATGAAAATATCTCTAACAATCTCCCCCTTTGTGATCAGATGTTCTTGCTTCTTCTATTCTTCACTTCTGAGCTTTAAAATAATGCTTTCTGAGATTGAGTGCATGCTCGTAGTTTCTGAGTGACCTTCTACTGTCAAGTTGTTTCTCGATGGCTTTCAACACTTTGTCAATTCTGGTTGCCTCTGTTAGTTCATCGTCTGTGGCATCTGCATACTTCTGTTGTTTTTCTTCAAATTCTTTTCTGATAGGTTGCAGTTTTTCTTTAATGATCTTCAGCGTTCCATCACAGTACTTGTTGATTTCTTCTGCCACCAACAAACGCCTCTCACCTTTGTGATTCAGGTAGATGATAGCTAACGGGCGATCGAAGATGTAATATGCTGGAAAGTTCTCAAGCTCTGGCCCGTAAAGCTTTGGTCTCGAGAGGTTTGTCTTTGGCAGATTGGTTTCTAGGGCCATCTGAAGATCATGGGAAGCAAAGAATTTGGCTTGTCTGATCATGAAGCGCTTGAGTGCCTTGAATCCCTCTTGTGTAGATTTGTCCCAGGTGACTGGAATTTCTTGGAAGGCTAGATACATATGATAGATGTCATCCATCTTTAACATATAAAGGTCATTTTCCTTGCAGGTAAATTCAGTCCCGTCGGAGCGTTGCAGGCGGTAAACAGAGAGTGGGATGTCTTGATGATTTATTTCGGCTACATTTAGTATACTCCATACTGGGTCTTTTGCTGTTTGTAGTTCATGTTGCCATACTTCTCTCTGTTTCCCCATGTAATGATGACTAAGCAGAAACAATTGTCCGCCCTTGTTCTTTCCTCTCAGATGATTAAGTCCACGGATTTTCAATTCGTCCAATTCCTTGACTTTGTCATCCCTCTGCCATATACGCTTTCTGATTTCCTCTTGGAAAGGAGCATTGATGTTAATATTCTCCCAAGGCTTTTCACTCCTCGGCATTTGAGGCGCTGTTTGTCTGATGATGGATTCCAGCTCCTTGGGAGGTTCCTGATAATTTTCTCCTTCCTTGAGTTCATCGTCATCAAGCAGTATCACATCAGCAGCACATCTAGCTAGGAGCTCTCTGAGATAGGCTCTTCGTTGTATTTCATCCACATTTGTCCATAGCCGAGACCACTTGTTATGAACAAGAATTTCTTCCAGTTCATCATGCATTCGATCATCGTGTTGGCTAGAGGGAACTTGCTGCTGCTGTGGCGGTCTGTCAATAGTAACTCCGGGATCACTAGGATTGCCCGTTATCATCAGATTAGAACAGGGTTCTTTCTGATGGCCTGAGTAAAATGGTGTACTCGACGTAGCAACCTCAGGAATTCCACTCCATCCTTGGACAGCACCTGTAAAGGATGCGCCAAGGAGTGTTGTTTCTAGCTCGACCGGGCTAGATGTGAATGGATTGGCTGTTTGGCTTTTGTGTTGAGTGGATGGTGGGGGCTGATTGTTCGAGGATTCAGGTTGGTTGGATTGCGTGGAAGGTTGGCTTGTTGACACATCACGCTCAAGTATCCTTTGCCTCTTGTTCTCCCCCTCATGAGGATCCGAGTCATCGGGGTCCTCATGCGAACGTTTGTGACCAAGGAGACTATCACGGCATGAGCTGTCAGGCTTAAGGATCTGAAGAAGGTC